ACACTACTGACATCGACACTACTGACATCGACATGAACCCACAGTTAGTCATTAACTCAACACTACTGACATCAACACTACTGACATCGACATGAACCCCACAGTGATTTACTCGTACCAGCTGTCAATCACTTATCTACTAATAGATTCTGCTCTGAACGACCTCTGGAGGTGCAGTACCGCCTTCTGCCACAGGAGGACAGGCATGAGGCACAACAGGAGCAGATCAGCTGTGCTGCACTTCCTCTAACAGCCACCTGGTGACGCTCCAAGAACACTTGAAGTGACAGACAGACACCCAGAAAAAAGAGATTAAGACATTTTTATACTTCTGAATAGCAGCCAAACCACAGAGGGATGCATTCTGGGACTTGTGTCTGTGACCTCTGATAAAACAGTCACAATAATAATTAGACTGATTCAGTGTTTACAGGCTCTGATCACATGCACATACCTGAGCTGCTGTTTGGGAATGATCGTCTTTAATAAACTGAGTTTGACAGACGTCAGATCAGTTTCTGTTCTTAATGTTGATATGAGACTGTGACCAGTTCTAACGCAGCTGTAATCAGTCAAATGATGATTGATGTCTTTGTTCAGGACATAAGGACTCTGTCCTCTCTCACTCGGTGTCCTTTACAATGTTCAGATATTTTCAAACCATTGTTGACCCAGTTTTAGTACCATACCCCAGCCACCAGGGGGCGACATTCAGAGCATTGTCTACAGTTCCTTCTGATAATTGCATTTGAACGAGATGTTGAGATGAAACATCAGGAAAATATCTGTGAAATGATTTTTCTCGTTTGTTGATTAGTTGAGTTCAAGTTTTACATGTTTGAAAAGATAAGAAATATTGATGTCAATGTGAAATTTAAATATAAAGTTTAATGCAAAGTTTAAGGATTACTGTCTAATTTGTTTGCAAAGTTCAATTGAAATGTAAGTTTTGAGTCAACTGTAAAGTTGTAGAGTTTAGAATGTCGAGTTTGATTTAAGTGTAAATTTTAAGTTACTTGCAAAGTGAAATGCGTCCTGTCAGTTAATCTGTGATGTCACTCAGCGCCTCCGAGGAAACACTGAACACATCACAGGGACGAGTGAGAAGAGTGATGTCATCACCTTCCCATCATGCCTCTGTGTGTGTGTTCATGCCAACAGCTCTTTAGTGATGCTGCTTGTTGTTAATGGGTTACCATAGCAACAAGCTGTTTATGAGCAGTCTGTCCAACACAGGACCCCCACACACACACACACACACACACACACTAGGGAAGACGAGGGAGGACAGACAGACGGACAGATTCTCATTTAAAACCAACTACAGCTAACGTGTTCTCACTCGTGGCTTCACTTCAGTCCTTCTAATCTTTGATCGACAGACGTGAAACAACACGTCTGTAAATGAGTCGACGTTAAACAGCTGCTTCTGAAAATCTCTGACGACGACGAGATTCTCGCCAACAGGAAGCAGCAGAAACTGACGAGAGAGTGACGGAGAGAGCGATCAGCTGACAAGTGAAAACATAATGAATCAAAGAGAAGAAACTCACATTTAACCGTTTGACTTCCCGACACTCAGGGTCTGGAGGGGCGTCACTCTGCCCCGGTGCATGCTGGTCCCAGTCTGATGGAGCCAACACTTCGCCTCCTGAGTTTTTACTGCGATACTGATACTTGATGAGCTGGTCGTTGTCTGTATCTGATCAGTGACGGAATCGAACCTTTTCACTGTAGGCGTCCAAACAGCTGAGATCAAACACGGGTCAAACACCAACAGCTTCTCCCGGCTGTGTCATTAATCGTATTATGGTTTTATCTTCTCGTGAAGCACATTATAAATAATAAAACGTATTATTATATCATTACCCCATCAAACCCTATAGCATCCACCTCGTTACGCCACCAGGGCCGCGACCAGCGTCCCTCAAACCTCAGGAGCGTCCTCATCTTTACAATCCTCATTATTTAAATGAGCAGACTCAGAGTGAAGATCCTCAAACTCTAAACTGGTTCCATCCATCATTTTATTTGGAAGTTTATGAATAAAACTTCTTTAATTTTTGATGAAATTTCCGTCACAAGAATGTTGTGTTCTGCCGAAGGAGCTCAGAGAATCGAACGCTGCTGACGTCGTCCTCGCTCCGTCTCTGCAGCGGAACATTTTCAAACCAAAGTGTTTTCCCTCAGAATGAAGTCGTGTTTGTTCTCACTAAATGTTGAGTGGGCGACTCTGCTGCTGCCTCTTTGTTTAATGGAGATATCAGCGAGTGCTAATGAAGTCTGCTAATCTCTCAACGCTCCGTTAATTCCCCTCTGCTCCACATTCCCTCGTTGTATTTGTGCTCGACGGACGCCGGCGGCGGGAAGACGCTGCTGCTGCTGATAGTTTTATTGTTTTATTGCTCAGACTCCATTTAAAGTCAATAAGGACTAATGGACGTGTGTTTAACGTGAATGTCAGCGTTCCTTCATCTCCCCGCAGCTCACCACCTGTCAGTCAAACACACCACAACATGTGACCTGCTGGAGGCGGAGTATCAGGCTTCAAAACAGCAGCACTCAGAGGACTGGGACCAGAGACGAGCCCAGAACCAGCACCAGAACCTACAGCAGACACCAGAGCAGCAGACAGTAAGAACTTTCTTCTCTCACTGCCGTTTGACTTCCGTCCTCAGGTGTGTTCATCTCCTCTCCTGATATCTGCAGGTATGCAGTGTGTACGTTGTCCCGCCTTCTTCATCCTCGTGGGGTTGGTTCTGTGCGGTCCGGTTTTCTCTCAGCCCGACAGAGATCAGGACCAGTACCAGAACCAAGACCTGGACCTGGAACTGCATCATCGCCGGCTGCTGCAAAAAGCCCGGAGTGCCGGACTCCTTACACAGGTGAGACACCCGAAAAACATCAGGACACGTCCCATCATGTCGTCCAACGTTTCAGACTGTTTGTTCATTTCCACAGAAACTGTCAGTATGTTAGCTGTGACGGAAATTTGTAGAAATAAACTGATACGATTCAGATTTTCAGGAGCTCCTCAGTTCAGGCTAGCGGATTCCACCTGTTTCAAGTCTTTATGCTAAGCTAGGCTAACCAGCTGCTAGCTGCAGTGAGATCGCAGAGAGAGCGAGGTCAGGTTGAAATCTATATATTATATACGATATCAAGTTTTCATACAAAAACCAAGAAACGTCTCAACCTGTTTTCCAGAGAAAATGTTATCAGTCCAGTCACAGGGGGGCAGCACTGAGTCCACTGATTCATGAGAAGGTGAAAACTTCCTGCACACTGGTTTTATTTATGTGTCTTTACAAGAGAAGAAGAGTCTCGTTGGTTGATAAATGTTTGTAACAGCCAAACGTTCAGTTTCCTCATGTTCACAATCTACTTCCTGTTTCCACTGTGACCGGGAATCCAAGTCAAATCTGTTATTTATCTTCCATCAGTGTGAAGACAGTGATTCAGGTTCGATTGTTCAAACAGTCGAAGGTTTTATTCCTTAAAACAGCAATGTTAGTGGAGGCTTCAGGCCTTTTATTTTGGCGGAGAGCTGCAGCCTTGTGACGTAAGTGCACAGAGCCTCCGACGACGTTTACTGAGCATGAATACATAATGAGACATTAGCAGACTGTGGTGCAGCGGCGAGGATGAGTTTACGTTGTTGTTTGAGCCTGAATGAGCTCCTCATGATTATAAAGAACGCCTGCGGAGACAGAAGCTGCGGGCGCTGGTGTCGGGAGGAGCGTGTGACGTAAATTGAGCGACAGCTGTGCGATGGTTCAACATCTGGTTTATTCACATAGACGTTAAAGCTTCTCTGTTTGAAACTGAGTCTGGTCTTTGGTTCATTTTCATCAGTGGATAAAATAATCTAAACATGACACTGATGATTCCGTCTCACTGACACTGGAGCTGTCCGTCCGTCCACATGGTCTTCATCAGGCTTTCATGTCGGAAACAGCAGCTGATGAGGTCATCATCAAAAACACACGTTTTAAATAGATGCTGCGAATGTGTTGCGTCTGAATCTGAACCTGTTTTCAGGAGTGGAGTAAACGTGCGGCGCAGGACCTGCTGTCTCAGGACCTGCTGTCTCAGGACCTGCTGTCTCAAGACCTGCTGGCTCAGGACCTGCTGTCTCAGATGTCTCTGCCTAAGGCCGACGCCCAGAGGGATGCTGAGATGGTTTCCACGGCGACAGGAGGAAGGATGAACCTGGAGCGGTCCATCGAACCCCCC